TATTTACAACTGTGATTTAAGATTGGAATTAGTTTTATTAATTTATGTAGCAAGGCTACAATCTTAATATTACTGTTAGTTTGTATAACAAGCATAGCAATAAAGCTGGACAACTTAATCGACTACCTAGGAGCAGTGATTAGTGTCATTTAAACTGAACAGTTACTTGAAATTATAATTAAATCAATTTATCAAAGTTATTGTTTCAAATTATTCCAACAGTTGATTGAGATTATGATTAAGTCAATTAACTGAAATTAGTGTTTTTGATTATTCTAACAAACTATCAAAATTCTGATAGTATTAATTATAACAAAAATAATCAACTAAGTGAAATCTGCATTTTTGACTCTTCCAATTATCTAAGTAATCAAAATATTGCTATTATGCTTGGTTGTTGTTAAGCATAGAGCTACATAATGGGCCAGCTACACTCTGCCCACTTTTATTATTATAAATTGTTCTTTTAGTTCAAGTTTGTGCATCTATGATGATTTGGATGAGGTGGGGGCTCGTAATTTGATGGTCTCAGGTTCAATTCCCACTGCCAACTTTGCTCACTCTTTGATGGCAAAGTTAAAAGGCTATCTGCCACTAATTTTTAACTGCTGATTAGACCAAAAGTAATTGATTTGCAGCACCCACTGTTAACATTTTTTCTGTATGTAACATGATTTGAAATACACTGTATTAGTCAATTAAACAATTCGCAAATATCACTAACTGCCAAGTTATATATAGTAATAAACTAAAAATGTCAGTATGTACAACATTAGAAGAAAATAGTAAAGTTAATGGCATGAGAGTTTGCTTGCTACATGTTCAAGGTATGTCAACAAAAATAGGTAACATAATAAAAACAAATATAGAGAGAATTGTAATGTAACAAATAACTGTCTTACAGGTGTATAAGAATATTGTTAACAAGCTGAAAAATTTGGTATCAAAATTTCTCTTTTCTGTGTTTCACTTTATACTGGCCAAACATTAAAAGACCTGAAATTTGGAATTAAGGAACATAACAATGTGATAGATAAATTTAAGGTAAATGAACCAGCTTTTGCAGAGCATGTGGTTTGTGTGTCTCATGTTATAGACTGGGAAAATGTTAATTTATCAATCAGATTGAGCTTCAGTAGGAACTAAATATTAAGAAAATTGTTAAAAACTGAAAAAACAAAAATATTACTTTAAAGATTTGGGTTCGGATGTTGTAAAAATTAAGCACCGGAAATTGGTTTTGTATGTTTCTGGGATGGTTTGTATAGTTACTGTGTTCGAGGTTGAGGTAACATTGGTGGATGTAATGATATGTTTATGCAAGTTTATGGTATTACTCATAACTCTTACTTTTGATGACAGTGACTGTCACAATTTTTAATAAATCAGATTTTATTTGTAATAAGTCCATGTTCTGTGTTTATCTTTAATTTTTTATCTGTACACAAGTGCCATCTAATTTAGTTAATTTTATCCTACTCTACCTTTAACAACTGATAACAAGTGATATGTGCAAGTTTACTGTTCTTTTGTACAGTAAAGATGAACCTGAAGTATCCATGTGCTTTAACACCTAAATAAGTTGTGTACATTCTGTTCACCATAATTTGATTTATCAGCTGAATATAATTGTGTTCATGTAAAATTGTGAACTCAATCCCAAGAACTAAGTGTGTGTAGCTTATGTTAACTTGTATCTACTTGTTATCTCACTAACTGCCGTTATATTATATTTCTGATTCATAATAAATTTCATGAAGTACATTAATTAAACAACAGAGTGCTCTTCTGAGGGTACTTAGACATTTTCACAGAATTTTATATTAAGATAAAATTTATTACCTTAAAAACACCTCACACATGAAAGATTTTAAAAATCATGATTAGTTTCGGCCATATGCCTACATGAGGTGTCATCCAGTTGAACACATCTTTAATTGTTGAAAAAAAATATTTTCAAAACATGTTCAACAATACATGAAATTTGAACAATAGTACTGATGTTCACAGAAATATGAATAAAGAAATATTGGATCTCGGTAGATGGAATGCATATTTTAAACATTTTTGAAAAGGTTTTACAATTAATCACTTTTCTATGTATACAAAAATTCTTAACTAAGTACCATATCTAGCAAGTTCTGTTATTTCTTTATTCTACTTTTTCTATGAATATCAGTGTTATTGGTCAAATTGCACATATTCTTGCATGTATTTTGTACAATTTTATTTCCAACAGTGAAAGACATTGAAACTCACTAACACCTGACATAGATCTATGGTCCAAACTGTCCATATCTTTTTATAATCTTTTACTTGCAAGTTTGTTGTTTTTTTTTTGGGGGGGGGAGATAATTTTTATTAATTTCATATGAAAAGTTCTTTGAAAATTTCACAATTTCAACAGGCCCCTCCTCACGAGCAAGTGGGGGACATTTTTGTTAAAAAAAAAAACTACCCAATCCGGTTTTTCTTAATTTGATCTGAAAGTATTTGGAAATTTTTATTGGTTAAGAAGAAGGCATTTCTCGCACTATTTTAACACTGGGGGCTACAAAAAGTGATTTGAAATGGTACAGTGACTAGAATCCATCAGTGCATCACATGCTTAATGGCTAAGCACAAAGAGCATGGAAGTCTCCAAATAACATTATTCAAAAACTGTTTGGAAACACCTTGGTAGATGTTGTGTGGCAAGCCAAGTACAATATTATGCCTGTAGCTGATTTCAAAGTGTTCCTGTCTGCTGTAGGTGAAATCATTCGTATCTCAATAGAAAGCTAAACATAAAAATGTGATAGCAGAAGTATAAAAGGTTGGCAATTGCTTAATTAATGATGCTGAGAATGTGGTTTTATTGATATATACTGAATTGACTCCCAGCGGGTAGACCTTAGTACTAGCTAGTATGGAGACTTGAGGATGCTGTATTTCACTTAAGTATTTATCAATTAACAAACAAACTTGTCTTGAAGTTGTCTCAAAAAGATACATCCAAAACCACCATCTTTGGGAGTTTCAGATTTAACTTACTTTTAATATTCATCAAATTGTAGTGTAAAGACACCCCTTGGCTCCCGAAGGATGTGTTAATTTTCTTCTACAAAATGTCAGTATATCATTGGCAATATTTTTATTGTTTTAATGTTTTGTTCACTAGAGTTACATGATGTAATAATTTTGTGAGGTCTACAAGTTTCATGGGTTTAAGCCTCTGTGGAATCTCAAAGCTTTCTGTTGTATGTAGAAAACTAATACAATATAAAATTGCCAGACAATGAGAGTTCACGAGCATATTTGTCAGTTAAGTTAGTCAGTCTGCAAGTTTGTTATTGAGGACATTGTGTAAATAAATGATTAAGTTTTTTGTGAATTAAGTATATCTTGAAATTTCCAGTAAAAATGTTGTATGTGAAGTTAGGCTTACCAGTGAACATAGCCTGTATAAAGCATTATTGTAGAAAGAAATGAATTCATTATGGACTGGGCTTCACATTATTTTCACCAAATAATTCAAAAGAACCCAAACAATGAGAGGACACATTACAACAAGTAGTTGTAGTAAGTGATCCTAAAGAAATTTTTAGAAAAAAACTCACAGAATGCTGTTAATCATATTTTCTGTTTGTTAAAGGTTTTGTATTAACTTGCATTATGATACATTTTCATGCACATTTTTTCTGTCCATCCAAAATAATAACTTTTTCTAAGAACCTATTACCACCTAGAGAGTATATTATCCATTTCTTGATTTTGAAGTGTTTTCTTTGTGTTTATTTTCTGCTTATTTTTTGTATAGGTCTTGCTTGCCACCTATTTTATGATGTCATGTCAGGTGGTTTGATTATTTAATAGTGTAGAAGTAGCTTTGAAAACATCTATAAAGAAAGTTTAGTCCATTGGCTGCTGATTTGTCATTTAGAGCACGTTCCACCACTTGGAAGTTGAATGCAAGTTTGCAGCAGCCACAGTCAATGGGTTAAATGTGATATAGGATACATCAAGAATTAGACTTTTCACGGCATAGTAAATATAGTAGTTTGAGTCCTAGTTTATGATTTCATGAGAAAATGTCTAGTTGACAAAACATTTTTGTATGTTAAATCATATCTGTTTGAAAGCTCCATGAATTTCCTTAGAAGAAAAAAACATCAGGTTAAGGTACCTTTAATAAGTAGATTAAGTGCCATCAAAATATTCTGATGACTCAAATTCTTATTTGTTGAATAACATTTTCATATTTGTGGTATTTAAACAACTTACCAAAATCAATTGGCTAACTGGCTACTTAATGATTTGTAATAGCAGTTATAATATGTTTTGAACAAAAACATAATTACTATCATTTACAATAAAATGTTTTCATTACCTGAATATTAATTTATTTGATTTATATGGAGATTATTGCACATTTCTATAAACAAAATGACTGTGTAATCATCTCAACACTAGCAATTTGCCAAAAAGTAAATTTTCAGGTTATTTTTTCAAAAAACTTTTGCCAAAATGTTTGCCCCTTTTTTTCCTCCATTTGATGTGAAAATAAATTATCAGTTGAATGGTAATGAATTAATGAGCACATTAGCAAATTCCACTAAATGCCCAGCTCTAATTCTGAGTATGATACATAAAAGAAAGTGCTGTTGTTGTCACAATAGGGCTTACTTTTACCATTTCAGTTTTATCAAAAAACTTGGCCAGGAAATGTTCTGCATGCATATTATCTTGAAAAAAATCACTAAGGCTGACAAACCATTGGTTACAATACTGAAAAAAAGAAAAGCAACAGTTATAAACAAAACATGTTTACCTAGGTGAGACCTGCACGTGTATCAGTATATTATTTTTAATGCCTTGGTTTTTACACAGCAGAAACTCAATATTCTATGAGATGCTCTTCACATACAGAATCTTGAGAAATCAGTAATACTGAAAACTATTGTTCAAAATGTCATTTCCAAATTAAAACTAACAGTTATTATGAAAGCAAGCATACTCACCTAGATGAAACCTGCACATGAGTGGGTACATTTTCTGGTGATGCCCTGGGTGACTGATCTACTTCCTTGGTAAGAGAAGCTGGTGATTTCTGGATGTTTTCTTCTATGCAATTAGGCACCTTATTTTTAAAGCTTGGAGTAACCAGGCTTGAATCACGTAAATCTTCTCCAAATGCATGTATGCTGACATTATAATTATAGAGTTTCCCACTAGGATCAGAAAGCTGTTGACGAATTCTTGGTCTAGGAATACGAGATTCTCCAGTAGCAATTCCAGGTGGTTGCAACTTTTTATACGATTGAGGCTTGAACAATCTCCCATTTTTTGCAGGCTTTTCTTGAGAGCTATCTCGACGTTGAAGAACCTCTGGTTTCTCTTGCTGAGTTTGAGGCTCCCAACTGATGCTACGATTGTATCTAGAACGATGAAAATGGGACTCTACTTTTGAGCTGGAGTCATCAGTTAAAGGTCTCTGAAACTGCTGTAGTAAAAAACTATCTCTTGAGATAAAATCAATATTTTCTTCTTGGATTCTTTCAGCTGCTTCTCTTCCACCATTTTCTTCTTTATACATTTTATAACCTTTATCATTTTCACTAATTTCAGTTGTTTCTGTATCTTTTACATTGCTGTTAGATATTCTTTGGGATAACAAGTATCCTGTACTGGCTTACCATTAGGTATTTCACTTACAGGCTTTTTAGTTGTTTCTAGTAATTCTTTGTCATCTCTTACATTAGTCTCAGTTACTTCTTCTTCATGATTTTGTTTGATTACTTCATCCTCACACTTTATATTGATATCAGCTATATCTTCAGATTTTACACTAATATTTTCCCTTCTTAAATCAACATTTTCACTTATCTGAAGTGTACCTTCTTTAATTTTCCCACACACTTCAGCAGTATCAGCTTTTATTACTTCAATTTGTTTACTGATTTCACCCAGTTTTCTTTCATGCAAGTCACTGATAATGTTTTTTGTTAAATTAGGTATTTCATTGATTTCGGTTTTACCTACTGCTGATTTCTTTGTTGCTTCACTTAATCTTTTGTTTTGATTTTCAGTAGTTTCAGTTACATCACTTCCACGTTTTTTACAAGCTTCTTTCTTCTTTTCACTGATTTGAGGCATTTCTTTTTCAGATTCATCAATGGAGTTAGACAGTTTTATTTTAATGCCATTAGTAGGTTCACATGTTCTTTGATCAGTCATGCCACTGCTTTTAATATTTTCTTCAGTCTTTTCAAAACTTTTATCAACCTGTTCATAGTTTTCTTCACAGTAATTATTTATTTTTTTATCAGTTAATCCAGTGTTTATATCATCTTGCCCATCTCTAATAGAAACTTCCATGGAAGGCCCAGATAAGATATACATCTGACATACACTCCTGTAAGTTGGTAAACTTCCAACACTGGAAGGGTACTCTAAGCCTTGTATGCTATGTCTGTTAAATTTTTCTAATACAAACTCATTTTTAAAAACACCTTGGTGGATGTTTTCAACTGAAGATTCTGGCCTTTCTTGTTCTTGTGCTCCCTTTGATTTTATTTGTTGATCAAGATCATCCAAACCTGTTATAGTCTGACTCTTCAACATACTACTGATATCTAAGTCCTTCAGAAACTCTCTCTGGGATTCCCCAAGTCGAACTGGAATGCGAGATGGTGGGGCGTCGGCAACACTGCTGGATAATGACTGCACAGGATCAACTACTTGTTTCTGTGAAATAGCACCTATACTATATTTATCTTTTCTATGGAAAGATGTGTCCATTATTTTAACACCTTTTTTTTCTGACACGAGCAAAGGAATTTTTCATCACAGTGCTTTCTTGCTGATGAGCTATCAGTTATGCACTTTTCCACAGAAGACACAACAACTTGGGAGGTTTTCCTGCTAGAATCATTTGGTATGTGTATTTCAGAGCTCTTGAGGTTAGCTAATTTATAGGTCTCCGGTACATCAGAGAGAATGGTTACTGATGCATTTTGATTATAGTTACCAGATATTAATTCTTTTTGTTTCTTCTGCAAAAGTGAAGTATTACTTTTCTCATCCCCTCTTAGAAACATATCTGCAGATTCGTCTCTCTTAGCTTTTAAATTATCATCACTTGAAACAGTGCAACTGGAAATATTAAGTTCTGGCCCATACATTTTTCCAATTTCACTTTTACTTGGATTTGTTTTCAATTTCTTAGGAACTTCTTGTGAGCCTACAGAAACTCTTCTTTCATCACCAGAGATATGAACAACTTTTCGTGAAACAAAATGTTGAAGTTCTTGAGATGCAGACTTTTCAAGACTAGGTTTTTTAAGAATGCCCCTAGAGTGTGGACTTACTGATCTTGTCCCTGATTTACTGCTTTCTGTTGCAGCTTCTTCAGACATTTTTGTAGCTTCCTCTGCCTTAATACTATTCACAGAATTTACAATCTGTTGATCAAACATTGCAATATTACTGTTTTGTAATTCAAATTTTTCTTTTAAATCTTTGAAACAAGTTCCTTTCGTTTGCACATCAGGATTATGATTCTTCACACCATCTGTAAAGCAGAACTGAAGACTGGGTAAAGAAGCTCTTCTAGATACAATGTTAGTTTGCTTACCATCTTGCACAAAATTAAGCTCTCCTCCTTTTTGAACTTGTCTTTGTGTAAATTCTGATGCATTGTGTTTCACAGACACTAGAAGAATTGAGTGTACCCCATACGGGAGTCGTGGAAAACTCCATGAGCGCTGTATATTTCTATTACATGATGAGATCAGTGGCAATGTTTTTCTTTGGATATGAAACCTGTCCTTTACTCTATCATCTCTAAAGTGTGATTTGACTTTTTGTGACACACTGGACTTCAATGAAGATTTTCTTCTAGCTATTTTATTCTTCTCAGGGACTAGAAGCTCTTCCTCCTTCTCCCCTTGTTTGTTATCAAACAAAGGTTCTGTTTGCTTTTCTTTTAATTTGGCATGACACTTTTCTCTGTCTGTAGAGTGTTTTTCTGACTTATGAAGAGAAGCACCAGATTGGTCACGTCTAAGAGCTCGATGTTCAGGAGATGTAGCTGTGACATGTTCCTCCAATTCATTGTCAGTTTCTTCACTATCATCAAAAGAAACCTGCCATTTAGATGCAAGAGTCAAAGCAGCAGCTCCACCTTTTGTCACCTGCTGCATTGCTGAAATATTATCATCATCTGCTATGGCAAACTGAGTCACAGATACATCCCTGTAACGTGTCCTGACAGGGTAAAGCCGACGAGGTTTAGACTCTCGATGTACAACTGTAGAATCTCGGGGGAGTCTGGGTTCTGTTGGTGGGGTGCTTAATGGTGGTGTACATCTACTTACATCACTTTGAGTAGTTTTAGGTATTTCACAAGCTTGGTTACCAGACACTTGTTCAGTGAAATCTAAATCTTTGGTTTGTGGACTTTCATTCCTTTCCCCTAATTCTCTTTTTACATTTTCTTGGATTGCATCTCTCCGAAGTCCAGGCAGTTCCTTTTGACATACAGGGACTTCTTCTCTGGTTTTACTATGTACTACAGTCTTCTGTATTGGCTTTGTTACTGATAACACATGATCTGATTCTCTAATCTCCCAAGCCTTCACTTTTTGTTGGACATTATCTTTCTTTCTCCTGAATTCCTTCTGTTCCTAAAAGAATTAAAAAATACAAGCACCATTTTAGATAACCAGAAAATTGTACAATTGATCAATCTGTTTAATATAGACCATTTTTCTTTATTTCAAACCTCTAGAGTTGGGTTTCCATTTTTGTTTATGCCTTTTGTTGTTGTTCTTTTATGAGACCTAAACCATTATTAATTTCCATGATTTGCATTCTTAAAACCTAGTTGGCTGCTCCCTTCATGAAACATTTTGAGGAATTCCAATACTGATAAGAATTAGAAAGTTTCCCTTTTGTAAAAAGATTAAACTATGTCAATTACGTGCTGCCTACAAATTTGATAAATGCACAAGTCTGTTATGCTCAGTACCTTTATATATTATATCTTTCAGTTGGTTTCAAATAGAAAACAGCCTACCTGAACTTTTGAGTCTCCAATTTCTACATCAGCTTGTTTCTCTTTCTGGGTATTATTATTATTATTTATGAGGTTGATGTTCTCACACACTGTTGTGGACTTGGTAGTCACTGCACGTTGATGGTTATCAGGGATTACGACTCGTCCTGTTGGCTCTGATGTAAAATTTCCTGATGTTCTGTACTTTGTTCGTGGATCTTCTTTAGAGTAAGAGTCCTTAACACGTACAGCTTCACAGTACCCATCTGGTGTGTAGTTCTCTCCACGGTCTTCATAAGTAACCAAAATGTTATTTTCCAACATATTCTCCGTTCCTTGAGTTGCCAGAGGAACAGTGCTGCAGATAAACAAATTAAAATAATTTATATTTTGGTTCTAAGCCTTGACACAGACAACATGTACTTTATTGAATTTCTTTTTCACAATCTAATAACACTATGGAACTAAAAAGTTAACAGTAAGTTTTTACATTTTGTGATTTATGTTAAAAAAACAGGGTTCTCACTAGGGTCCCTCAGTGAAGGGTCCCAGACTCTCAACTTTTTTTTTTCAAGAGTCCCAGTAGATTCCCAACCTAATTTTCAAGGGTCCCATATGTAGAATTTAATAAAGGAAAAAAAAAAAGGAAAAAAAGCACTTCAGTGTCAATGAAAAATTTTATTTACAATGTACACTACATGTTTACTTTCTGCAAGTGGAAAAGGACATGCTAATGTGCAATGAAAAACTTTATTTACAATTTTTACTGCATGTTGTTTCCCTTTATGAGTGGCAAAGTAATTTTTATAAGACTAAAAATACTTTTTTTCATTTGAAAATTTTCAAGTATCATTTGCATAACCCCTAAAACCTTCAAAATAAATATCAAATGTTTTTATTTTAGAAAACCTTATATCTTATCTGTTATTTTTCTTTACCCTAACTCTATACGAGGTTGACTGATTAGACTGACCTCCTAACCACCATACAAAATTAGGAAATAATTATAAATTCCCCCTATTTTCTTTCTGGAATGACAGCAAATTGTAACAAAAAAAACCACAACTGTTTATCTTAAGTAGCTTAAAGCTTGTAACACTATACATTATGGTATTAAATTACATAATGCACAGACAACTCACTAGTGTACCTCATAAAAATTATTATTATTAATATTATTATTTATTCTATTTTAGCTAACCTAAGAAGTTTATAATTTTTAGATTTTAATTACTTTGATAATAATAAATATAGAATACACATTTAAAGAAGAAATAAAGTACTAACCTGGGTCTTTTGCTCTTGACTGGTGATGAAACTTAACCTTATTTTGTTATACTAATTGTACTATTTTATCAAATAATTTCTGTTTAATTAAATAATGCACCAAAGAACACAGATTGATAACATGCAAAAAGGAGACAATGTTCAATAACTATTGCAATTTTCCTGGCTTTTTAAATGTGCTACAAAAGCTGTTAAAAATTCAGCTAAGCTCATTGATGTGTTTCCTGTGGGAATAAAGTTTGATTGGAAGGAAAATAGACAATTCTCTGTATAGACAACAAATAATATAATACATCATTTGATAGAGAAAAACTTTGGCTTTCTACTGGTTATAAATAATATAGTCTTAAATGTCAGAGGGAATTATTGGCAAGTTCTGAAAGAGAGGATGTGACAGATGGGTGTGGCAGGAGAAGTCTGATTTTTTATTTTATTTCTCTGAAACTGAATAAGATTAAAGGCTATGTAAATTATGCTTTGCCTGAATGATGAAAACATTATAATGAGTAATGTACCTTAAATTTTGTACTTCTTGAGAGGTGCTAATAAAAATTAGAGAAGAGGGAAGAATTTAGATAACAAACATCACAGTTCTCATACCAGGGGAGATTGAGAATTTAAAATATTTCCTTATAAAATCAAAGCTTAAAAAATACAAAACTTTGATTTATTATCTGATGCCGAGCGTATTTATATACATTGATAAAGTAATTTAATTAAATCTTGAAAGTAACTCTGTGAAAGGTTGTGACATGCACACTCTGACCTATCGAGGTGAAAAAGTTAATCATGTGGTACTTTCATGTGGCTTTATTTTGTGCAATTTATCGTCATTGATGAAACCTGTTAGAAGTTGATTGCAGACAGCTGTATGCTGTTTAGTTTGTTATGGTACAAAGTTTGAAGCAAAGTACTTGTGCTTGCCTTGCATATGGGACATTTCGTGGTGTGTATTCGGTGCCCGGGGGGTAAAATCTTGTGCATCCCATCAAGTTCTCATGCATACAGGACCTGGGAGTTAACTAGAACCCTGAAAGTATGTGTCTAAAGAGAAGGTATTTACAAATTTTGGCAATTTTCAGATTCGAAATATGTGATTACATAAAAACTTTGCCAAACATAGGCAAATATTTCTACCTAATTTAATATCAAAATGTTACATTTGTGTGTATTCCATTCAGTAAGAAAGCTTAACATTCCATAATGACAAGGTCTCTTAAATAGTTCACTAAGTGCAACAACACATTGTTCAACCTAAGTAAATGCAACTGTAAGGTGCTAACTGCAAAAAAAGAACATTACTATATTTAGTGCTCAGCAATAATTAGAAACCTATTCATAATAACTTATATATCAAGTTAATTTTCAGTTTTATAAATGTGAAAACCCATACCTTTTAATAAAAGTGAGATTGACTATTCTTTGAACAACCCTGTATATTCCAAATTAAGTAATAAACGTTTAGTCTTCACTTTGGAAAAAAAGCCTCATGTCTTATATATTTATATTTAACACCCATAACAGTATGTCAGCGTTCTATAAATTGTTTGTACAATTTGTCAAGTTCTTCAAATTTGAAGCAATTATTATTTTTAATATAAAATAATTAATACAGCACTTACTCTGGAAGGATAGGTTTGGAAACAACAGCAGAAGTAGAAGTTGTGGTTGCAGAAGAAGTATCAATGTAAATTTTTTCCCAGTCAAATGGGTCACTCTCTCTAACTCCTCGTCGTTTCATGCATCGTTCAAACAGTCCTGCAAGCATATCATAATCAGGCTTTTCATAATAGTTCAGGGAGCAAACATGGTCCAGAAATTGTCTGAAGTCTGAAGGGAGATGTTTCAGCAGAACACGATGGTCATATTTTTCTTTCATCCAGCCAACCTATCAGAAAAGTTGACATTTTAAACTTCAAAATACAGTGAAGTTAACAAAGGTATTAGCCTATTAATTTTAGTTTGTTATAAATTGTTATAGAAGTTATAAATCAATTGAACACATGGTTTTAGAAATGAATTATGTAAGCTTAGATTACTTATAAATTTAAACAAGCAATCAGTTTCTTAAGAAACCAATTGTGTGTATACGTATGTTAACAATTATGGTATGCTGAACATTAAGAAAAACTACAACTGAACTTAGAAAAGAATCACGATTCCTATGGAGAGATACAAAATCTATTGCCACTAAGACAGACTATACCAGTTTCTGATATTCAAGAAACTTTTAAGAAAAACAGTCCATATGGATCAGAAACAGAAAAATGTTAAAACATTAACAAAAACAAAGTTTGAATATCACTTTAGCTTATCATGTGGAATACCATACAAAAGCCTATTTTTCTATATCTATTTTGTGGGTGGAAGAAATTTGTTATATATACAGCAAACAATAATCGTCCCACACTCATTTTACAGTAATTAAGATTATAGTTTTTAACCTTATTAACAAACATACAACTAGCATGCATGCTGTAAAATCATTCAAAAATTGGTGCTTAAAAAAAATCCCAAACTTTCATTCTTCTAATATTCTCATGCATTTTCAGAAATGAGGTTGATAAACACAATAATCCTATACACGTATGAGACCATTAATGACTACTACTACTACAAACATTTGAAGAGATAGTATAAATTAAACAAGCCTAAAAAACAACAACATATTTTCCACTGTACACAATACATGCAACAATACCTATTTAAACTTTAAAAATCTTCCACACAGTTAGCAGTGTGGGTAAAATGTATTTTTTTATTATGCAACTCTAATACACTTATATTTCCAAACTGTAACACTGAATAAAAGAACAAAAATATTTTGCTACATTAATTATGTTAAACTAGATAATGTCTCGACATTGAAGTATTTACATTGCTGCAATTGTATAAGAAATCATAAGTCATACTATGCACATGCCACATAGAATAATAAGTTTTTAACAGTCAAAATTCTAGTTTGTGAGAAATACTTTTTAAATAGACTCTAAAAAAAAAACTCTTTACTCATTGATGAAAAGAGACTTCATATGATAAAAATTAAGGATGTCTTTTATGAAATTATTCCTTTCTTTTGTTCAGTAACAAAATTAATTATCTATGTTCCACTCCGCTTGTCTATCTTAAAGAGAGATCCTATTGCTTTTTTTTTGTACATCTTCCACAATGATATTTGTTGTCTACAGCTGCATGGCAGGCTGTTATGCAGACCTTTGTTAGTAAAGCTGACTTCTCTTCTTGGATAGCTCAAATGTAGCTCTGGCAGCATACCCATCCCACTGACCTATTTTTCAGAGTTGGTGTTTACAGAATTCTTGTCTTTCTACAACCCATTCACAGCTTGCCTCATTCCCCCCCCCCCCACTACATCTCTTTCATTATTAGGGTTTGTTTGTTTCTACTGCAGTTATAAATCTGTCCTCTCAGCCATTTTTAATTGCCACAGAACTCATGTGCTTCTGTCAGGCCTACTTTTTTCAGGTTCTTTTTTGAGTTTTTTTTTTTATTACGCCTCTCACGAGAGCCTGGACATTGTACTTAGTGGGATTTAAGTCCGTTCTTAAGTTGCTTGGCTTCTCTTTTATAGCCTTTGCAAAGTCTTCACTCTATCATCTTTCCCTAAAGATATTTTATTTTGTTACTTGCTTTAGGGAGGAGATGTTCGGATATTTTTGCCATTGATGTTTCTCATATTCTTTTATTTTTTTTTTTCCAGGAAGGATCTATACTAATATCCTTATAGAGCCTTCCTGTTAGAGACATGGGCTGTGAGAGACGGTCAAAGCTGTTTTTTTCTCCTATTGTGTTACCTACTCTGACAGACCTTGATACACCTCCTAATGAATGTTTTCTATGTCTAGTCAGGACTATTTGTTCCTATTTTGCAAGAACAGAATCTTTTTGAGGGAATCAACATTAGTTGTTCATACTATATGATGATTTGTGCTTCAATGTACCTTGCTACAGTCAGATTAACAAATTGGTTTGTACAATTGATCTTATTTTTTATAACCTAGTAGACTAGTTTTTACCTAAGTACTTTCTTCACATTCCTTGGCACATTAGCAGAATCAGTAACGCTGTAAAATGAGCACATGAAGAAACCATCAAAACAAAATATTGATCATCAAATAGTGTCTGGAGTTAATCAATGCTTTAAAATTACATAAACTTACATGCAATAAAGAGTGTGAATAAAAGGATAAAACCTTCAAGATCAGACATACATAAATAGACATAGATCATGGTCAAAATACATTGTTTCTTTACTGACCCAAGAAGTATATATATATAATTATAACAATATAAAACAATTCTTAAGTATCAAGCAAGAGTATTTAGACTAATCAATAATACTCACAATAATAATCACACAGGTAGGATTAATAAGTTACTTGTTTCCACATTTCTTGTATCAATACTTATCTAAAACTACAGTCCAAATGTCATTGTAAATTTCTTAAACTTCTTAATAGGTCTCATAGTAATCACCTGTTCCTTATCCTTAACTTTTCGCCAAGGAAGCTGTCCATTTACAAACTCCACTAACATGTAGAAGAGAGACCACAGGTCATCATGTCTGCCCATCTCCTACAAAATATGAAAATAATAAATCATATATCTTACTTGAAAAGGGTGTAATTTTTTGGAGCCATTTTCCAAATATAGGTGCTAATGTTCACAAATAAATAAAAATCTTTACTGCATAATAATTTTCTTAAATATTTACCCTAAACTTAGTAAATTACAAAGTGATGTCAAAAGTTACACAAAAAAATAAACAGCACACTGACCAGAAAAGATTAACCTTAGACAAAATTTCTTACAACTGAATGAAATCAAATAATTTTTCAATATAGGTGTGATGAAGAATGCTGGTTTCCTTCCAGTAATAAAAACCATGAAAAGAAGCAACTCCTATAATAATATAAATCAATGTAAATATATGGAATAGGTGAATTGTAACACAGAAACAGAAGACAAACCATCACCACCAAATATTGCCAATAGGAAATTCATAATGTGTAACCAATACATATTAAACAGGTCAGTATAAGGGTCAAGAAAATTTGATCTAAAACACACTCAATATGTTCAGCATTAATTCCAAATTTGGTGACTATATTGGCTTTGAAATTAATAGTCAAAGTATTTTTTAATATATAAATTCATTAATACAATTTCAGTAGGAAAGAAAATTCAATGCTCTTAACTTTTAATGTTTAACTTCTTTTTTCCTACATTTTTAATT